CCCCCCCTCTGCTTCTTCTTCTTCCTTCATTTTCCCTTCTTGGGCTCTGCAACTTTCTTCTTCAATCCCTTCTGTGTTGGGGCCATTTCCTTCGGTCTGTGTCTGGTTCGCTAACTTCATGAAAGCTTGCGTTAGGTGGAATTAATGGGGAAGTACATGAGGAAAACCAAGTCATTAGGCGAAGTTGCAGTCATGGAGGTTTCACAGTCCTCTCTTGGGGTTTTGACTAGGGCTAAGACTCTAGCCTTGCGTCGTCTCCAACAATCTCCGACGCCGTCGCCGTCGCCGTCTCCGGTTGCTTCTGGTTCTTATCTTCAGCTTAGGAGCCGTAGGCTTGAGAAGCCACCGGTTGTATTTTCTGGCCATGAATCGAAGAGGCAGAAGCAAAGCCCTAAAGAGGGCTGCACGAGAAACCCTAGCCCTAGGGTCAGTTCTAGTTTGAGGCCGGCCATGCCGGAAAAGTCGGTCTCGCTTGGCCGTGTTAATGAAGAGGGGGATCACACGGCGGAGGAGGAGGCGGCGGCGGCGGCAGAGGAATCCGTCGGGAAATTTGATGAAATTCATGCCAGTGGAAGTAAGAATGAGAATATTGATTTGGTCATTGAAGAGGCCTCGTTTGGTGAAAATAATTTGGATTTTGAGAGCAGAGAGAGGTGGGATTTCTTCTGTTTTTCCCCTCATTTTCTTGTTCCATTTAATTAACGTTGGCTGAATTTTGTTATCCTTCATGACTTCCGTACCTAAGATTTTCGACATTTTGGAGACTGAAATTGTCCATTTATAGAGCTAGCGGTGTCTGGTGAAAAACATGCAAGAGGTTTTACTCTGAAATTTTCATTTCCATGATATTGTTGGCTATGAATGCGTTAAGGTCGAAATTAAGCTTCAATTTGTTGTTGTTCATCTCTTGGTGTTGAATTTTCTGTCTGTGGCCCTCGTTTTTTCTCTTCATTAACTTTGTATTTTGGAATCAAACTTGAAATTGAGCATCCAGATTCTTGTGTTCTAGGATTTTCTACAGCGCAAAGGCCCCAGATATAATCTTTCCGCCATCACTTTTTTTTTTTAATTGAAAATTTCATGATGGTATTTGTCAAACTTTTATGCGCACCTTGTTTATATGTTCATACTTTTTTAGGCTCCTGTTAGACTACCTTTCCTATAGAGAGCTATTTTATTACGCAGATGACTTTTTAGTGGTTATTTTTTTTAACTTTTCCTTGGCACATTGTCCTGGGATTCTCTTCCCCAGTTGAAATGGTCATTCAAGACTATCATTTTCTTGTTTGTATATCATGTGTTTGTTCTTTTGTTTACTCTGCTTTTTCGCCCATTTATTCCGCTTGAAAGGAAAAAACTTATAGATGTATTTGCTTGTAATTTTTTCTGTTTGTCTTGTTCTGGAAGAGAAGGATTTTGAAATGACTTTTTTTTTTTTTTTTTATCCTTTTTCTCTTTTCCTTGGTTGGAACTGGAGGTACAGTCGCAAGGTTTACTTTCCATGGATAGACCACCTTAATGAATTTTTTTTTTCTTCTGTTTTTTTGTTACCATGATTATTGAAAATTTGAATGGTAATTATGTTCTTCAAACGTTAAATGGAGGTAAAAAGGGTATTCAGTTACTGAAATGTTACTTGAGGTAATATCCACTTGAAATCAACTCGGTGTTTCTCAACGTTTGGGTCATCTGATTACTACATTGTTTATCATTGTTTCTCAGTTTGCTATGTCTAACGGAGGATGCTTTGGATTGTACCAGGAGTACTAGGGAATCTACTCCTTCCAGTTTGATAAGGAATCCTGATATCATCAGAACACCCAGTTCTACAACCAGGCCAACATCCAGCATGATCGAAACTAACCGTAGAAATCTGTACTCATCTAATCGACACATACCGACAGCTAGTGAAATGGACGAGTTTTTTGCTCTTGCTGAAGAGAAGCAGCAGCGACACTTCATTGAGAAGTATGTTATAACATGTACATTTCTTCCAAAGCTGTAAAAGTACCTTTGTTCGCACTAGTAACAGTCTCAATGCTATGATGTTTGCAGGTACAACTTCGATCCCGTGAATGATACGCCGCTTCCAGGCCGTTACGAATGGGAGAAGTTGCAACCATAGAAGATTATAGCGTGTCGTTCCATCAGGACTTCTTTCCTGCTTATTTTCAGTATATCTCGGGTTCGGGTTTTCAAAAGTAGCAGGAAGGAATTAGTCTAACTTCAAAGGGTGGCGGTGGTATTTCCTTTTTCCATCATCCTTGTTAACTTGTAAAGGAGTCGTAAGACCCCTCTCAAAACCCCCCCAAAAAATGAAACTCCATAGAAGTGTAGACTAATGTTCTGTAACATAACAGAGGTTATGATTTACACACTAAATACCCATTAGAGTCCATTGTCTAGCCATGTTACTGAGAGGGGAAGGTAAGAGGGTCTGTAGTTTAGTTGTAGGGTTAGTAAGATAGTTTAGGCAGCTAGGAAACTCTGTGGTACAGATAAATTTACTTAGGATATTTTTCTTTTATCTTCCCCACTTTGTAGTGTACTGCACTCTCCTCCACTCCTCTTTGTCTATACTAGTAATAAAAGCTAACCCGTTGTCTCTCTCCATCATTCTCTACTGTCGTTTGTATTATCTGTATATTGCTGCAAATTAGGCAGTGTGATGATAAACCATGTGCCGCTTGTGATGCTGTGTTGAATGATGAGAGATTAAAGTATTATTTGGTTGAGATAGATGGTTGGTGATTGGTTGTTTGAGGTGGGTGGTAGTGGAAAAGCTTTATGATGAACGGTGAGCGGAATCTTATGTCCACCATTAGTTTATTAGTGTGTATTGGTGGCACTTGTTAAATGTGATTTGCTGCCGCTTGGTCGGTGGTGGTGGTGGCAGACAAGTAGGAATTCATAAGGAGAGAGATAGAAAGATTAGGAGACAGGGATTAACACCTCAATCAATCAGGGCCAGCTTAAGATTAAAAAAAAAAGTATATCTCCAAGGTGCTCTTTAACAAAGCAAAATCCACAAAAGACTTCACCAGAAGATTCTCTCTCTCCCTTGTGATTTTATAAGCCTATTTCTAGTAGATATTGTCTTATTTAGACTTTTCCTTTAGGACTTCTCTTCAAAACAATTTCAGAGTACTCGTATATTATTGTAATACCATTTGTAACAGCTTAAGCCCACAGCTAACAGATATTGTCTTTTTTGGGCTGATCTTCTAACTATTACAAATGGTATCAGAGCCAGACACCGGGCAGTTTGCCAGCGAGGACGTTGGGCCCACAAGATGGTGAATTGTGAGATCCCACATCGGTTAGAGAGCAGAACAAAGCATTGCTTATAAAGGGTGTGAAAACCTCTCCCTACCTAACACACCCCTTATAAGGGTGTGGAATAAGACTTTGAGGGGAAGTTCGAAAGGTGGATAGAACGGTGGGGGGGGGGGGGGGG